TTGAATGACAACATAGTCTCCTACATTTCCTTCTACTACTATAGTAATGTTTATTTTTCATGCTTTTTCTTTAATCACTTCCAAATGGCTTCACCTCTATATTTTGTTTTAGGTTGGAGTCTAGTTTATTTTTCACCACACATGGAGCACTTTCCACTCATAATCCATGCTTCCCTCATTAATCTGTACCTCATACTAAATATCCAGGCATACGAGTCCATTCTAGTTTCTCTATTTTTGTTTCAATAATTCATTTGGCTGAATATTCCATAGGAGAACTAATAGTTCTACTAGTGTTCTTTTGACAAACACTAATTTTATTATTCTGTTTTGAACTATGTTTTCATATTCCACATCTTTATGATTCCTTTACAAATTTAGTTTAGATTTTATCCATAGGCTTTATTGTTATATATTTTAGAATAGGTTTTTATTTGGTTCCTCAGAAAGTTTATTTGTAATTTGTACTGGGATTTCATTGAGTATATAAGTTAACTAAAGGCCAAAACAGTTTTTGGCTCAGTGGATAGAGCGTTGGCCTGCAGATTGAAAGGTCCCAGGTTCGATTCCGGTCAAAGGCATGTACCTTGGTTGCAGGCACATCCCCAGTAGGGGGTGTGCAAGAGGCAGCTGATCAATGATTCTCTCTCATTGATGTTTCTAATTCTCTATCCCTCTCTCTTCCTCTCTGTAAAAAATCAATAAAATATATATTTTTTAAATAAATAAATAAATAAATAAATAAGGCTTAAAAAGAAATATTTTAGCCAAAACCGGTTTGGCTCAGTGGTAGAGCGTTGGTCTGCAGACTGAAAGGTCCCAGGTTCGATTCCGGCCAAGGGCATGTACATTGGTTGTGGGCACATCCCCGGTGGGGACTGTGCAGGAGGCAGCTGGTCAATGTTTCTCTCTCATCAACATTTCTGGCTCTCTATCTCTCTCCCTTCCTCTCTGTAAAAAAAATCAATAAAAAATTATATATATATATATATATATATATATATATATATATATATATATTATAAGTTACCTAAAGGAGACTATATATTGGGTTCTTTATACATTAAGAACTTTCACCCAAGGATATGGGATGTATTTCCATTTCACTTAAGTCATTCTATGTCCTTGAATAGACTTTTAAATTTTCCTCCAAAGACTATTCTGTACTTACACTAACTCATGGTAATAAATACAACCCCAAAATATGGGTATTTGATTATCACCATTTTCCAAATGAGGAAACTGAACCCAGAGTGATAAGTAACTTGCCCGAGAACACACAGTAACACCACAAGTAACAAAACCTGGATTCAACTAGTTTAGAATCCATACTCTTCACCTCTGTATTCCTTCTCTTCCTACAGGCAATTACTTTATACAGTTTGACTGGAACTGTAAATAGTATCTTTTTCATTATCTACATATTATCTGATATATTATTGTTATTATTCTAGAGGCCCAACACAAAATTCGTGGAAGGGGCTCAGCCCACCCACCTCAACAGCCACCTCTGCCTGGATCCCCTCTCGCTGTGGCTTCATCCAAAGGTTGTCCGGAAGAACATCCCGAAGGATATGGTTTAATTAGCATATTACCCTTTTATTATTATAGATTTTCTAATTGGTTGTTGCTGATGTAGAGAACTTAGGTGATTTTTGTAAGTTGATATTTGTATCCAGTGAAGTTCTACGACTGGCTGCATTGTTTCTGTTGCTTTTCTGTACATCAACTGTAAGTAATAAAAATTTGGTTTTTTCCTCTCCAAATCTGTAAACCTCTCCTGATTTTTTTTTTTCTTCTTCTTCTTCCTTATAGCATGGACCAAGACTTCCAGTACAATGTCAGACACTATGTAGTAGTCATCATGGCTCCAATAATGCCTCATGTAGAAAGCTTTTCATTGTATCTTGGCTATGGGATGGGCAGAGAACTGTTTCACCAAAGAACAGGTTAGAAACCGTGTCTGCTGGCCGAGACTACATTCTGCGCAGAGAGGTCTGTCTTACATATGCCACAGAAATCATCAGAGATGATTCTTCATCAGAGATGGCCTTCCAGGGGAGAAATAGCTCAACTGTGATAAACTGAACTTCTGACTTTAAGTATATTTAACTGCATCCTAAACCCTATGGCAGCAACACAGCTCTGCACCTGTCATTTGTTTTAATCTGTAACTGTTTGTGACAACCCATTGGTCTCAATCCCCGTGGGAGAGTTCAGACAGTTGCATTGGAAGGAGGCTTAGTGATCAACTCTCCTTTATACACATCTAAAAGTCCCTAAGGTGGAAGCCTCATTATCTTCAAGCAAATGTCTGATCCAAGCTCTCTCAGTTGTTGGCATCAGTCTCAGGGGCTAATATAGCTTTCTTCTAATTGGCTTCATCAGCCCTTCTTCAGAGAGGTTGGCCCAGCCAAGTGTTCATGGCAGCATCTCAGGGCTTACAGTGATCTTGTTTACCCCAAAACCAATGGAGACACAGAGGAGAGGAAGAGGAAACACCCACTCTTCTCTCCTGTATGCCTAAAGGTGTATGTATCCCTATCCAAGACTGGTGAATCTGCACCATGGTGGACACTGCTGGCTCCACAGAGAAGTCCTGGGACCTTAGTGCAGTGTGACCCTTCAGAAGCCTTGAGTGGGTGACTAAACACACCCTTCCCTTTCACAGACATCCAGGGTGACTAATGCCTGGGTAGAAATGAGTGAACTGAAAAGTCCCACAGGAATCTCAAACCCAGCACATCCAAAATGGAACTGCTCACTGTCACCTCCAATCTCACTCCCTTCTTCCAGTAACCCCTGTGCAGGACCTGGAACAACCTCCATCCACCATCCACAGGGCCTGTCGGGCCCTTACACCTGAGGAGTGACCCAGCCTTGGTCCCTCTCTGCCCACCCTTGTTCTCCATTCATATATATATATATACTTTCAAACAATCTTTCTTTTATTTGTTTTAATTTATTGATTTTTTTATTTTTATTTTTTTACAGAGAGGAAGGGAGAGAGAGAGAGAGAGCTAGAAACATCGATGAGAGAGAAACATCGACCAACTGCCTCTTGCACACCCCCTACTGGGGGATGTGCCCGCAACCAATGTACATGCCCCTGACCGGAATGGAGCCTGGGACCTTTCAGTCTGCAGACCAATGCTCTATCCACTGAGCCAAACCTGCTTCGCCTTGTTCTCCATTGTAAATGGGGCCTTGGCCACACCCTCCCAACTGCTCCCTCGGCTCCACTCCTGACTCCTGGGATTCATCCTCCATGCTCCTGCTGGAGAAATCTCTGCATCATGTAAAAAAGACCATATACCCTGCCTAACACTCTAGAGCAGCTGCCGCCAACCTTTGGGAACCTCAGGGACTACCGGTTGGCGACCCTCAGCAGACTGCACACTCCTTTTCATGGCATCCACCAGCCTCATGGCACAGCCTCATCACCCTGGCAGCAGGACCCCCAGACAGCCACTTCCCCTACCCTCCCTGACTGTGCTTCTGACTACTGTTCCCCCTACCTAGAACCTGCACCCATTCCACGGGAAGTGGACTAAGGCCTATTCATCCTTCAACGCTCAGGTTGGGGGGGATGGGGAGACGGTGCTGAGGAGGGACCTCTGCTCTTAGGAGCCTTTGCTGCTGCTTCACCCCATTGCTCCTGCTGAGGTGCCCTCTCGCTGGGCTTCTCCTCCCAGGAGCTGAGGATCCATCCCCGTGATCGGCAAACTGCAGCTCGCGAGCCATATGCGGGTCTTTGGCCCCTTGAGTGTGGCTCTTCCACAAAATACCATGGCCTGGGAGTGTCTAGTTAGAAGTTTAAGTTTTAAAAATTTGGCTCTCTCTCTCTCAATATCTCTCCCTCTCTCTTTCTCTCTTTCTTTCTCTCTCTCTCTCTCTCTCTCTCTCTCTCTCTCTCTCTCTCTCTCTCTCTCTCTCTCTCTCTCTCTCTCTCTCTCTCTCGCCGAGAGCGATTTGGCTCAGTGGATAGAGTGTCAGCCTGCGGACTGAAAGGTCCCAGGTTCGATTCCGGTCAAAGGCATGTGCCTTGGTTGTGGGCACACCCTCAGTGGGGGGTGTGCAAGAGACAGCTGATGGATCTTTCTCTCTCATCGATGTTTCTACCTCTCTATCCCTCTCTCCTCCTCTCTGTAAAAAATCAATAAAATATATTTTAAAAATAAAAATAAAATAAAAAGTTTGTTCTCAAAAGCAATTTCAGTCGTCCTGTTGATATTTGGCTCTGTTGACTAGTGAGTTTGCCGACCACCGATCCATCCCACTACATTGTCACGATTCTCTCCTGGACTCTGTATTCTTGACAACAGTAGGTTATTACATAGTCTGGTTTCATCCCTCTTCATGTTTAAGATGGTACCCATGGGCAAGACACACTGAGTCAGATTGGTATGGGAGTGCTCACCGTTAGGTGTTCCGCTCCGGGCACAATGTGCTCTTGGCACATTGTAGACCGTAAGAATGGATAGATGGGTGGATGGACACACGGAGGATGGATGGACGAATGAACTAACGAACGAATCAATAAATTGCCCAACCCCATCCTGAACCCAGGGATGGGCGCTACCAGGGCTCATCCTCACCACACTAGCTGGAACGTGGGTTGCACTATCAGGCGCCCCGTCAAAAGGGGGCGCTGCAGGGCGGAGGGGTGACGGCTGGTTACTGAGATTTGGGGGCTGGAGCATCGGAGACCCCAGAACCGAGGAGGGTGGCAGGGGGTCGGGCGTGCCCTGGGGGACCCTGTGCGCCGGCGGCGGCGATTCTGCGCGAATTTTCGCTTTCGCTTCGGGTCGGGCCAGAGGCGGCGGGGCCGTCCCGATCCGCTGCGGCTGGGCCCGGGGGAGTTAATCCGAAAGCGCCGCCAGCCCCGCGGGCCCGGCTCCACGTGTCACCGAGAGGCTGAGGTGGAGACAGAGAGAGAGAGAAAGCAAGTGATGTGCGTCGTCGGGGAAAGTCCTGCGCGCCTCCGGGCAATTATAAAAATGGGACCCCGGGGTCGGCTCCCCAGCACCGCGCTCACCTGCTGCGCCCTCAGGTCCGGCCCGCAGAGCCCGCTGTGCCCGCCGTGCCCGCCCGCGCCGCTCAGCATGCGCCCCCCGCGCAGTGAGTACCCGACCCCTCGGGCTCCGCTGGGGAGGGGCGCGCCGGGTCAGAGGAGGCAGGACCCCGGCTCCGCTCCCGGGGAGGCTGCAAACCAGCAGCCGTTCCCAGTTAGAGAAGAGAGGAGGGCGGGAGGGAGCGGGGCAGGAGACTTAATTGCTTGCTTTCCACGCGCGCGCTGAAAGGGGCATGGGCTCTTTGGGTCTGGAAACAGCCCCTTGAGCTAAGGATTGTTATGCCCACTTCACAGGCGAGAAATGGGGGTGGTTTCTTTCTTTTTTTTCTTTTAATATATTTTTATTGATTTCGGAGAGGGAGAGGGAGAGAGAGATAGGAACATCAGTGATGAGACAGAATCATTGATCGGCTGCCTCCTGCACGCCCCTACTGGGGATGGAGCCTGCAACCCAGGGCCTGGGCCCAACCAGGAATAGAACCCTGATCTCCTAGGTCAGTGGTCGGCAAACTGAGGCTCTGTTGACTGAGTTTGACCTAGACTCTCAATTCCAATAATTACAGGCTGTTGTTGTTCCTTGTGATTAAGCCCCTGGTTCGTAGGCCAATGCTCAACCACTGAGCCACACTGGCCGGGCCGGTTTCTTGCCCAGGGTCCCATGGCTACAGCTCTAAGAGGGAAGATCCCACCCGGCTGCACCCTGAGGCTTTGCCACCCTCACTGTTTCCAAAACACTGGGTGTGAGTCTGGGTGTGAGTCACGTCACCACCCGGCCTCTGTTTCCCACCGGGGACATGGAGACGTTTTCTGGTTGAGGTCTGAGTCAGTATCCTTGTCTGAGCTCGTTGGGGTTCCTTGCAGAGAGCTGGTGTCTCAGCTTAGAATAGAGAGAGAGCACTGCCTTCCGGGGACTGGATGCACCGCTCAGATGTTTCGGGGAGATTCCAGGGTGGAAGGAGGGTAGATGGGTGGAAGGGAGAGGCAGGCCAAAACAGGGAGACAACCTCAGCCACCCCCGCCCCTTCCCTTCCAGGCCTCCTCCTGGTAGTCCCTCTGGTCCTCCTCCACCACCTCAGCTGGGCCAGGAACCTCCCCGCCACAGCCCCTGCAGGCCCTGGACCCTTCCCCTGCCTCGGCCTCGCCCAGAACCTGCTGAAGGCGGTCAGCAGCACGCTGCACAAGGTGAGCTCTTCCAGCCTCTCTAGGCAAGGGGCATCTCCAAAGTCCGGGTCCCCTGCAGGGAAACGGAGGGCGTTTGTCAGGGGCTGTCAAGAGGCAAAGAGGGGCCTTTACCAATGGCCCGACTACGAGCTGAAGAGTCTCAATGAAACTGTGTCCCCAGAGCAAGCAGGGCCGGTCATCAATTACAACAGTATTCCTCTGGGTTGTGTCTGCGCTGAGGAAAGTGGATATTTACAGGGTTCCCCGAGGCCTGCCAGCAGAGATGGAATTAACTGTGCCTGGCCCGCCCTGTTCCTCAGACACACTGATCAATCCCGCAGACCATTATGGGGTGCAGCCTCCAGGCTCCCGGCGGGGGGGGGGGGGGGGGGGGGGGGCGGTGGTGGCTACCGCGCTGCATGAGCCTCGCCCCTCACGCCTGCTCTCTGCTCCGGCTTCTCAGTCTTCGGACTCCGCTGGTTGTCAGAGCACCGCGTTTCAGAGAAGCTCAGCCTCTGTTTTCCAGGGAGAGAATGATCTGATTTTATGTACCGCTTCGTTCATGTGTTTAGGTTTCGTATTTTAGTGCAAAGGAAAAAAAATTTTTTTTTTCCTTTTAAAAGTGCTCCTGCCAGCCAAAGAGGGATGTTTTTAAAGACATCCTTTTGCCTTCCCGCTCTCTAGTAAATCTGTCTTGAATATTTTCAGCTTGTTGTTTTACGAGGGTCTTAACATAAGCTCAGTGCCACGAGGCCTTCTGAAAGAATTCTTTTTCCCCCTTATCTTTCAACTGCTCCGTGCGGCTCGATCAATCTTAATTAAAAAGGCAGCCCGCCTGAGGAGCGCAGCCGAGATAAGTGCTGTGGTTCCTGGAGATCAGTTCGGGGTGGGGGAAACTGAGGCGCTCCCATTGAAATAGGAGCTTGCTGTGAAAAGGGGGCTCTGTCCCCGGGGTCGCACTGAAGATCTTGGGGCTGCAGAGCTCAGTCTGATGTGTGTGTGTGTGTGTGTGTGTGTGTGTGTTTATATCTTTCTTGTGTCAAACCTGCCCTTCCCAGGCCGTATCCAGCTCACAGATTTCTCGAGTTTGGCCCATGTCTTTGATATTTTATTTCAATTTTTTTTTTTTTTTTTTTTTTTTTTTTTTAGTTTGATGCTATTGGGAAGAAAAAAAAAAAAAGAAAAGGAAAGAAAGTGGTCTTTTCATAAAAGAAACCAAATTTCCAACTCGTCTTGGAAAGATCCAGAAAACTATCACAATGGGCCCACCTTGCCAAGCCTAACTTTTCACAACCGGCTCAGGGTAGTGGCTGCCCAGGTCTGTGTGAGCACCTCCAGGAATAGTGTGTTCATTTTTTCTGTGCCTCCTGGAACAAACTGCCACGAACGTCGTGGCTTGAACCAGCACAAATGTGTGCTCGGACAGCCCTGAAGGTCAGAAATCCAACGTGGGTCTCCCTGGGCTGAAATCAAAGTGTCAGCCGCACTGTAGCCCTTCCTGGAGACTGGGGAGATCATTTTTTCTTGCTTTTTCCAGGTTCTACAGGCTGCTCATGTCCCTGGGTATGTGTCTCCCTTCTATCTCCAAAGCCAACAATGGCCAGTTGAGTCTTTCTCCTGCTCGTCACTCTGACCTTGACTTTTTTGCCTTCTTCTTTCACTTACCATTGGGCCATCCAGATAATCCAAGATAATCTATCATAAAGCCAGCTGATTAGCAACCTTAATTTCATCTGCAACCTTAATTCTTCTTTGCCATGGAACAACATATTCTCAGGTTCCAGGGGTTGGGAAGTGGATCTATTGGGTGGTGTGTGTCGGAGAGGGGGTGGGGCATTATTCTACGTAGCTCAGATGGGGATTTTACTGCCTGTTCCCAAACATGTTCTGCACTCTCAAGCTTCGCTTCACGGCTCATGTAAGTTCCCTCTGCCTGAAATTCCCCCTCCTCTGCTGGCCAGCATTCTAATCTTCCTATTGCAGACGTGCCATCTCTGGCAAAGTCTCTGCTTCCCTTTCCACCACCTCCTCTGAGCCTTCATATCCTTCTCAGCTCTTCTCTCCTGCGGGCCTGTCTCCTAGTCATGTGGGCACCTGCCTGTCCCCTTGGGTGAACTTGGAGTCATGTCCCTTAGTGCCTAGCACCGTGCCTGGCACACACCAGACTTATGGAGTAGGAAAATGATCTCAATCTTCAATCAAAAAGTCATCAGCTTCTTAAGATAAATCTCACTATTATATTCAACATTGCTTTCCAATGATCTGTGTGTGTGTGTGTGTGTGTAACTGCATACCACAAATTAAATCTCAATTTGTCTTTAGGGTTGCATGTTTGTTATATCCATCAAGTTGTGACCTTAACAGTTCCCCAAGATATAATTGGGGGGGGGGGAGATATTCAAAAAACGCAGGCGCTTTGGCAGAAGCAGAAAATGCCTTTATCAGGAGCAAGTGTCACAGCGGGCAGAGATTCTGATTAGCACAGCCTGGTAAAATGATTTATAGTGTTTACACAATGGAAAAGCATGCCATCCAGGGAAACAGTCCTAAAAGCAGAGGGAGAGAGAGTGTAAATGAACTGCTTCCTTTTGTCTTCTGCAGACCCTGAATTTCTTACAGGTCAAAGGAATCACAGGGGTTTTGCTGTCACCCCAGCGTATGGGGAGCCAGGTACCATATTCACATTGTAAACTGGGTTTCTCCTTATGGCTTTTACAGGCCAGACAAACGTTAGAACTTTACTCCTGCACTTCTGAAGAGATCGATCATGAAGACATCACAAAAGATAAAACCAGCACCGTAGAAGCCTGCCTTCCACTGGAATTAACCATGGTACGGACACCATTCCTCCCAAGCACATCATGCAATTAAAAGCTGTGCATCAGACTCCATCTTCTTACAGAAATGTGCTTGTTTCTGGTCTCTACCATCATGAAACTTGAACAGATCCCACTTCAAAGTTAAATTTGAGAAAAAATTGATAAAAATAGATATGGTTTTTCACAGTGTGAATATATTTAACATCACTGAACTGGACACTTAAAAATAGTTAATAGGGTACCTTTTGTTAGTTATTTTTAACCACAATTTAAAAAAAAGTGAATCTTTGAGAGGAAAAGTCAAAAAACTTTACATTAAGAATTAATATCTTTGATGTGTAATATTTTTCTCTCTCTAGAATGAGAATTGCCTGGTTTCCAGGGAGGTCCCTCTCATAACTGTAAGTCAGAAAACTAAAAGTTTCGACCCATTTTATGAATTTATACCGTTGATTAATGTCTGATTATTTTTGCTTCTAGAATGGGAGTTGCCTGGCCTCCAGCAAGGCCTCTTCTATGACGGTGAGACACGGGACTTTTTCCTCAAATGCAATGGGAAGGAAGAGGCGGGGAGGAAAACACTTGTAGCTCATCTCAATGGTTTCTTCCCCGATTTGTCATATTGCCCAGACCCTGTGCCTCAGTAGCATCTATGAGGACTTGAAGATGTACCAGGTGGAGTTCAAGGCCATCAATTCAAAGCTTCTGATGGATCCTCAGAGGCAGATCATTCTGGATCAAAACATGTTGGCAGCTATGGATGAGCTGATGCAGGTAAGGCCTTCATCCAATCAGGGAGAGCACCTTGTTCATGCCTAGGCAGCCAATCAGAGTCCCAGATGAGGAGGTATATAGTCAGCCCTTCCTGGATTGGGAGAGGCCTGCAATGCCCCCTCGTAAAGCCCCTACAGAGTGATAGCCTTGAGGGATTCCTCTGGAGCAGCGGTCACCAACTGGTGGCCCGCAGACCACTGATGGTCCGTGAGGTCCAAAAGGTTGGCGACCACTGCTCTAGAGAAGAGCAGACGTGAGCAGGACACATTTAGAAAAACAGCCACCCATTCGTTGACCAAGTGGTATGCACCGGGCTCTCTGCAAATGTTTTCACACATTTTCTTAATGTCGTCCCCACAGCAACCATATGGTTCTGTACAAAGGAGGAAACCGAGGCTTAGGCAGTTAGCCACTTGTCCGAGGTCAGATAGCTTCCAAATGGCAGAGCCAGGACTTAAGCCCCCACCAAAGGGATCGCACCACACTTCTTGCCCACCTCTGAGGGCTCCAGGGTGTGCAGGTGAGGGCCCACCTGCACATCTGCAGATTTAACCGGAGGAAACAAGCAGAGCTAGTGCCTGGGTCTGACCCATTCTGAACCAAAGTGTGAACGAAATGAAAGAATGGCCTGTCACCTGGGGAGAGCCACAATGTTACTCAGAGACAAGAATGTGGTTTATAGTTTCCAAGTCATCATAGCACACAATTCTAATACAAAGCATAGGAATCCTATATAATAAAAGAGTAATATGCAAATCAATCGAATGGCAGACGGGTCGCTATGGCATGCACTGACCACCAGGGGCAGCCGCTCAATGCAGGAGCTGTCCCCTGGTGGTCAGTGCACTCCCACAGGGCTCACGGCTGGCAAGTGCAGCAATGGTGTTAGTAGCCTCTCCCGTCTCCTCAGCAACACGAAGGAGGCTTGGGCCCACTCCCCACGGGGAACAGGCCTAAGCCGTCAATTGGACATCCCCCAAGGGTACCTGGACTGTGACAGGTCACAGGCGGGCTGAGAAATCCCACCCCCACCCCACCTCCCAAGTGCACAAACTCATACACTGGGCCTCTAGTATCACATAAGAAACAGCAAGGTGAGTGCTTTGGTGACCAGGCATGGGATAAAAATATAATGTCAGAAATCATTGTCTGAAAAGGAATCTTTCCCTCTTTCTTTCTTTCACCAAATTACTTCTTTGACAGGCACTGAACATCGTGTAGCATCAAAGAATCTTACCGTCTACAGAATTGTAGATAATAATTTCATTTTCAGGACAAAGAGGTGATTCGGGCACTGGAGTCATTTCGACCAGTAATCAGACAACCATGCCAAAACCTTTGGTACCTCTGTGCCTCAGTTTCTCCTCATGTAAAATGGGAGGACTTGGCCCACCCTACTTTTCTTTTAGGCTTTTTGTGAGAATAAGTGGGATTACCGATCATTGTGCAAAAGTAAGGTCTTGCTTTGAGTTATCAGATCAAAGGGCTAAACCAGGTTTATTTATCTGACACAGATGAGTTTCTGTAGTGAACACGTTGGTTACTGATAGAAAGTATTGATCAATAGCAATCCATCACCTCCCTATTCTAAAGAAGATTTCAGCCCTCACTGGTTTAGCTCAGTGAAGTTTTCATGAGCAAATTGCTAAAGAGGGAAGTTTTCTTCGCTGTGTGTGGGACTTGTTTTTTTTTGTTTTTTGGTGGTTGTTTTTTTAGAAGAGCAAAAAAACAGGCCTCCAGGCTGAAGGGTCCCAGATTGGATTCCAGATAAAGCCACGTGTCTGGGTTGTGGGCTCAATCCCCAGTAAGGGGTATGCAGGAAACAGCCAGTCAATGATTCTCTCTCATCATTGCTGTTTCTCTCTCTCTCCCCCTCACCCTTTCTCTCTGAAACCAAGAAAAATACATTTCTTAAAATCCAGATGGTATTTGAAAGAGCTTTAAGGGTCTCTTCCAAGCTCAGTGGAGATACACGTGCTTGGATCATGAGAATTTCTGCTTTCGGGTTCTGCCTGGCCGCCATCTGGCTGGGAGAGTGGGTTGGGTTGAGGGGATGTAACGAGGGGGTGGGCTGCAGGCTCTGAGACACGTGCTGGCATCCCCCAGTTTACGGGTGAGTGCTTCCATTTTGGAATACCCTGTAGGCCATGCTCATTATCTGTCCTCCTAGGCCCTGAATCTCGACAGTGCGTCTGTGCCACACACCGGCCCCGTGGAAGAACTGGATCTTTACAAGACGAAAGTCAAGCTCTGCATCCTTCTCCACGCGTTCCGCACCCGCGCAGTGACTATCGACAGGATGATGAGCTATCTGAATTCTTCCTAAGAGGCGCAGGCCTCGCCCAGCCTGGAAGTCATTCAAACCAAAGCGATTTTTATAGTCTGTGCGGGAGGTGGTGGCTTGACCTGATCCGACTTAAGCTAGTGATTTTCTTGTTGTTTACATTAGTCAACCACCCAAAAGTTGAACATGTAACTACTTTATTTAAATGGGTCCTTTCCTCGCGTATATTCCACATTTTCTAGGGATAAGTTGTTTTTTAAAAGTTTTCATGAGCAAATGGCTAACGGGGGGAGTTTTCTTCACCGTGTGTGGGGCTTGTTTTTGTGTGTTTTGTTTTTTTAGAAGAGCAAGAATTTATAAGCTATTTCTATATCAAAGTGTTTGTCAAAACACTCAAGCATAATTTATTTTAAGGTATTTATTTATATAATGGTGTGTTCATGAAGGCATGTGGGCTAAGTTATATTTATTTATGTCCTATTTATTCAAATATTTATTTTCAAATGGATTTGAGAAATAACTGATGCTGTTCTAAAATAAAATGATGAAATTAAAGGAATTTTCATAGTTCTCAAATGTAATTGGAGTACTTTTCAGTGTTGAAATACACATGGTGGGGAAACTGGAAACACTGATGAAATCTGAACAGAATTACCCTGGAAAGACGGTGGCAATATTCTTACCCATTTCCTAATGGCTTTAATCACCTACTGTAAGGGGGCCTGGTTAGGTTCGATACATTTTAATGCTAAAGTCCTCAAATGAGTCGCTTTATTTTTGTTCAACATCTGAATCTAAAACACAGGAGAGTGTTTTTCCCTGCTAGCCACAGCCCTATAACATACTGTGCACTAGACAAATACATAATAATACCCTCCAACTGGGAAAAGCATCATTAAGAGGCCTTCTAGTTAAATTATTCTAATTTCCATGACCCTTTGGGCCCGCAGGGGGAAGTTGTTTCTAAATTACAATGAGAAAAACTCTCCATTTGCTTTAAATTATATAGAACTTCTGCCCGAACCACATGGATAATTGCCTTGCTTTGGCTTAAGAGAGGTGCTCTTAATGACCCAAGTATTAAATTCCATCTTTTTAATTCTCTAAACCATGTGGATTTTAAAAGATGCACCTGATGGAATAACATCATTTTAGTTCTCTGATAACCAAATTGTGCCCTTGGGAACAAACTATTTCAGAGTGACATTCCCCCCAACCCCTTCCCTGCCACACCCTTCTCCCACATTCTCATGTGAACCTCCCACCAGATGCCAATTCAGGTCCCTGTGAACAGTGAGGGAAATGTGTGTGGCCACCCCATGTCCTCATCTGTGTGGCAAATGACTCATTTTTTTTTTCAGATTCTCACCCCATTTGATAGAAATCTTTGGTGAAGCCAAAACCGGTTTGGCTCAGTGGAGAGAGCGTCAGCCTGCAGACTGAAAGGTCCTGGGTTCCATTCCGGTCAAGGGCATGTACCTTGGTTGCGGGCACATCCCTAGTATGGGGTGTGCAAGAGGCAGCTGATTGATGATTCTCTCTCATCAATGTTTCTAACTCTATCCCTCTCTCTTCCTTTCTGTAAAAAAATCAATAAAATATATATTTTTAAAAAATCTTTGGTGAAGCTAGATACATACCTTCTTTTCTTTAGATTCCTCCATAATCTAGAATAACTCACGAGTGACTCATAGACAGGAGTTTCCCAAATTCATCAGCCTGTTGACTTAGACAATCCACCGTTTGGGATCATGTGGTTACTATCCTTCAGAAACCACGTGCCCACATGCCACCCTGGTGAACTGGAACATGATCATTTCCTGTGGCAGGTGTGTTAGAAACAAACCCCGGGCGATCGTTTGAGAGATGCCAGCAGCCATCTCATCGGCTGGTCCCCACACTGCCGGACAAGAGTGGGCCGGGGTCGGCAGGGCTCCCAGTAATCCCTCAGTAGCCCCCAGGAGGTCCCCAGGCCAGAGCAGGGCCACTCCTGAATACTTGGCTGGTGCAGTTCCAGGTGAGATTTCCCTTCACAATCGGCCTCTACAGCCAAGGAAAAGTCCACACTCGCTGAACTCCTCCAAGCTCCTCCCTGCCATTAGGCTTTCTTAGGGAACAAAACCATCCTTTAGCTTTTCCAATTCACTCGACAATACGACACAGCTGTCAGTGCAGAGAGCGTGCCCTGTCTACAGGTGAGGCTCAGGCAGAGGTCACAGCGAGCAGCATGGATGGGCTTCCACGGAAGGACGATGGCTGGCCACCCGCAGGCTGTCCCACTGGGAAAGGCTGTGATGGACACCGTGGTCGGGACAGACTGGATCTCGGTCTCCTGGAGGCCCCAGGCAGAGCCGGAGGTCTCGGTGGAGAAGCAGGAAGAACTTTGGAACCTGAGCTCAGAATTCAACCCCGGGGGCTTCTAGGTTAGTCCCAGCAGCTACAGGGCCGTTATCAGAAATGCTCAAACTGTATGAAAAAGAGCAAGGCCAGCCAGCAGCAACATCCAGGCTCCCCGGCTGGGACCTGCCCTTCAGCCAGCAGCGCTCTGCTTCACCCAAGGCCTGTGACAGCTGCTGGAGCCACCGCCCCATGACAGCACATTTAGACAAACGCAACCCAAGTGGCTTCTTTAGAAAACAGAGTGAAAATGCGCTTCCAGCCAAAACCGGTTTGGCTGAGCGGTAGAGCGTCGGTCTGCGGACTGAAAGGTCCCGGGTTCGATTCCGGGCAGGGGCATGTACGTTGGTTGCCGGCACATCCCCGATAGGGGGCGTGCAAGAGGCAGCTGGTCGATGTTTCTCTCTCATCGACGTTTCTAGCTCTCTCTCTCTCTCCCTTCCTCTGTAAAAAATCAATAAAATATATTTAAAAAAAGAAAAAGAAAAGAAAGAAAATGCGCTTCCACGTGACAAAGCCGGGGAGGAAACTGTTGCCCTAAGCAATACAATGAAATAGCATGGGTTTCAAATGTGCAGAATCCCGTTAAGAGAGCCGCACGGGTGAGGAACTAATACAGACCCACCAGGTTTAAAGTAAAAGCACACCTTCCCATGGCCAGGGGCGGAGAGGAAGCTCTAAAGCATCCTGGAGTGAGACCTGTGCAAACTCTGGGTGCACTAGGTTATGGGGCGGGAGGGGGGGAGGGCAGATTGGGGGTAGGTTAATACTCACTCAGCTTCTGCCCAAGACCTAGACCCCTGGGCACAAAATTAGCCAACAGCCAAAACCGGTTTGGCTCAATGGATAGAGCATCGGCCTGAGGACTCAAGGGTGCCAGGTTCGATTCCGGTCAAGGGCATGTACCTTGGTTGCGGGCACATCCCTGGTAGGGGGTGTGCAGGAGGCAGCTGGTCAATGTTTCTCTCTCATCGACATTTCTAGCTCTCTATCCCTCTCCTTCCTCTCTGTGGAAAATCAATAAAATAAAATAAAAAATAAAATAAACTAGCCAACATCCAGTCACAGTAATAGCAACCGAGGGACCCAATGCTATCAGACACCACGTGTAAGTAAGTAAGAACACTAGGGAGCCCCACGTGCACTGTACAAATAAATGCAGGTTTATTTTTCTTCCCTTCATCCATAGTATGAAAATGGCTAGGAAACCAGCTGATATACAAAGCTTTTCTGCAATTATGCTTTTCTTTGAAAAACAACTTATAAAAAAATAATAAACATTTTAAAAAATTCAAGTCCTTTTAAGTAGTTTACACTTCCGAATGTTAAAAGTCCACGTGTTTCCTAAAATATAGTACAATTAAAAAAAAACAAAAAAAAAAAAACACAAAACAAAAAAACTCATTAAAGTGACACTGATCTGAATTCCACAGGATCCCGGACAGTTAAAAAAATACGTTATTCCCTATAAAGTAAGTCTGTTCTTCTTCACAGGCAAAACCATAAAGTGTGTCTCTCTGCTTAATTCATTGAGATTCATTTTACTCTCCAGCTAATGACGACAGAAGACTAATGGGCAATTGATAGTGTCTTCCAATAAGTTAACAACACATATCCAAAAGGCTAATCACCACAGGCATGATTCTGGAGGAGGGACAGTATCTGTACACACAGAACACAGACGAACGCTTCACCAATTATCAAGAGCCAATGTGACCCATGGTCCCCAAGGGCAAGTCTTCTTCAAGAAGAGGTGACGGTTCTCCCGTGGTCCAGCGGAGGCCGTTTCTGAGCGGGTTCCCCACTTACCCCCAACCCCAAAGTAAACGATCCCAGGGTCACAGTCAAGAAAGGCAGTGCTTGGCCCGGCGATTTCAGAAAGCTGATGGAACTTACAGCAACTCTGACAGCGGGTCCAGTTGAACTTGCCCGGGGAAGGCGAGGCGATCACCTGGGAGTGAGCTTATCAACGCTCCGATGGGGAGAGGATGACATTTCGTTCTGATCACTCCGGGACCAGGTGACAGGATGGGTTTGACTGTTTAACCGGCCACTAACCAGAGAGGTTAGTGATGGGAGACGCAGAAAAATTCAATCCCACGTGGAAAGATCCATTGTGCCCAGGGGCACACATACCCTCTAAGGGACCCCGGGAGGCTTGCAACCAGGGGAGCAATGGGCAGCGGCAGCTCATCCTGGGATCACCCCCCAAACCTGTGGAAGCTGGGAGAACAGGAAGCTCTCTTCGTGATGAATGTCAGCCCGATAAAAGCTACACTAAATCGGTGCAAGTGTAAGCGCACCATCGTGTCCTTGGTAAAAGTGTTCCAAACACTTGGTAGGAATTTCAGAATCCACACTGCTCCAAAAAAGAATATTACCACATTTCTCACCTGCCTGAGTTGAGTTATTTTAAGCACCCTTTGGGATGGTACCTGTTTGGGGTGGGGAGCTGGTGGGATGGTGTGAGCAGGAGGTGCCAAAAAAGAAAAGAAAAAACCTTGAGATTATAAAGGTGTTTTCTTCCTCAAGTTTTCCCAAAATGTTGCATTCTCTTTGCCCCTGGATTGTGTGAGCTACAGAGGGGCGGGCGGTGGAGAAGTTGTTCCAGAGAATGGGTTCAAGGTCGCATTAAGTCGCTACCC